TAGCACAGAATAGGTGCTAGTATTGATGATGTCAATTTTAATAATTTTATAGGAAAATTGTCATATCCCACTGATTTTGTATTCTTTAGCGAATTGATGACTTTAATAGTTTCGTAACGGTCAATAGGTAGTAAGAAAATACTGTTATCATTAGATATAATGTTATACTTATTACTGGTCATATTTGAGATGTCATTAGTTAAATTTATAAAATAATCATTAAATGTATTCGCAATTTCACTAGGATTAGTTATTGTTTTATTATTATTTAAGATTTTATTGACACTGGATTTCGGTTTATTTTTTGTTATATTGCCCTTTATGACATTCCAAGAGGATTTACATACATTTTGAGATTTTGTAATGTATGCTTCATTACTCATTTGTATAGCGTTGTTTATGCACTTTTTAAGAACACGTGTATATTTACGGTATTTTGTTTTAATTTTTGAACTACCAGTTTTGTAGTACGTAAATCTCAAATTTCTTTTAGTGATCGTTGCCTTTTTTATTCCCTTTGTAATCCAGCGCGTAGATGGTCTTTTATTGTGAACTTTCATTTTGCACACAGGAAAGCAAAGATTAAAGAACAATAAAAGGGTTTCATGAAAAAGATTAAAGCTTTTATCCAGATCATCTTCTTCATAAATTTCTGACCATGTTAAACTGTTTAGGTACTCATAAAACTTGTTTATATTTTCTGAACTGAAGTCACGATATTCCCTTATCCAGTGTTTCGGTACATGATTTTGATCGTTTACAGGTAATGATAGCAGTTGAGCTGTGTCATGGTCAGATAGTCCCAAAGGAAGAAGTTCCCCTATTGCTTGAGGGATGTTACTTATTATTAAATCTAAGCAAGACTTTTTTCTAGTTGGATTATTTATATGGATGTTATAGTTATAGTTTTGTATCAGCCGATGTAGATTTTGTGTGACTTCGTTATTGTTTAAAATATTTATATTGAAATCACCTGTTATTATGACTTTTTTGTTTATTTTAGTTCTAAGTTTTGCCATTAATATGTCCAATTGTGTCAGAAATTCGTAGGGATTTGACATTTGATTATCCGGAATCCGGTATATGCAAAAAATTAATATATTATACTGTATCAATTCTATTCCACAACATTCAAATATGAATTCTTTAGTAATGTCTTTTAAGAATAGGATTTGTTTGTATTCTATATTATTTCTACATAAAATACATACACCTCCACGTTTCTTTTGTCTAGAATAGTGATCGGCGAGTTGAAACCCATGAAGTTGAATATTTGCTTCTGTACCGCATTTAATAAAAGTTTCACTCAAACATAATACATCTACTTTTTTTCGCTTTTGTGCCAGTTCTTCGAGTGTTATCTGTAGAATATCTCTTTTACTTAGAAAGCCTGCTATATTTTGGTGTAGTATATTTAGGATATTATTATTGTTCACGAAAAAAGTCATTAGTTCGTGTATCAGTGTCTATATTTATTTTAGAGTGCACGTTTAATTGATTTCTTTTAATAATAGGAAAATAGTCGAGTAGAGTTTTTTTAGCCTTTGAATTTGTATCTTCTTGTAATTTGTCGATGATTGAAGTTTTTAATGTCCTTTTTTTAGTAAATGTCAAAAATTTTGTTTTATAGTCAATAGTGTCAATGACAATATTTAAATGCATACACAATTCCGTCAGTGATGTCGTTTCTTTCGTTATGAGATGACAATTATTAAAGTTGCGAGAAATAATATATAATTGTTCATTCAGTTTTTTTTCATTTAGGTAGTTGTTTTTGGTGATATTTAGTATCAGGATAGTATTATTTTTGTATTTTTGTAGAATTATACATAAGTTAGTCATTAGTTTTATTGGATTTGGGTCATTTTCTCCAATACATAAGATAAGTTTATCTTTTTTATACATCACTAAGTTGTCTGATCCCTTGACAATTTCATCGGAAGTTGCAAACGGTTTTATTAGTCCTGATACGGTATATGTGTCATAACACGTATTTAAACGTGAGCGAATCAATTGTGAAGATAATCCCTTAATTTGTTGGGTACACACATACTAGGTAATGTGTAGTTTTCCATTTTTATTGGTGTTGTCTAATATGTTTATAGCAGTTGTTTTATCTTCTATGTTTTTATCTATTGTTTTATTAGAATCATCATTATTATTTTTTTGTTCACAAACGATTTCTGGTCTATTCTGATTTACTATTTCATTCTGGTCCTTTATTGTGTTGTCTAGACTGCTTTGTTTTGTTTGGAGATTATCCGGGGAGAATTCTATTTTCCTAAATTTCTTATTTTGGGTCTTTCTAATTTTGTTATCATATTTCTTTTTTGTGGAACTTATAGGGTCGGTTAGTAGTATTTTATATTGTTTGCTTTTGTTTTCTAACTCACTTATTACTTTCTTTAGTTTATGGTTTTCGTGTACTAAGTTTTCTATCTCTGTATCTGCAGTTTTTAGTTTAAATTTTATTTCTGTTAGCTCAGTTTCTAATTCTTGTATTTTTAAATTGTTCACTCTAATGGATATATCAGGAAGGCTATGATAAGGGGAAATATTTGATTCTGATAGTGTAGACGTTTCAACTTCAATATTTTCTAAAGAAAGAGAACGAGTTTTATTAAGGTTTTTCACATCTGTATTTAATGGTGCTATAATATCTAAGGTCTTCTCGAGTATATTTAATTTTTTATTTAACGATTTGGAGTTCAATATATCTTCACTACGTTGTATGTCCGAATTGTTTTTATTTTGATTGTTTGAAGACAATGGCGTACTTGTAATATTGCTCGATATAGATTGCATTTTTTCATTGTAATTTATGCAGGATTTGCAAGACCATGAATCTTTTTTCCCTTTATCCATTATTATATTATAACGCTTTTGCGAAACATTTATGCATTCAATGTGATATTTGTATTTACATTTTTGGCAATTTAAATATTCTCGATTTCGTAGTATTCTGTTACACTGTTTACATCTGTTTGTTGCTGACATTTTATGCTGCCCTCTATTGGGAAGCGCAAGTACTATTAACTACTATTCAAAGAATCAATTTTTGAAATCCATATAAGTAGTATAGATATCTAATGTTTTCTACAATAATTTATAGGTGGCTCTCTTTAATTATTATATCTTTGAAGTCAATGTGTTATAATGAAAAATAATGCCTCTCAGTGAGGTTCGATCTTGGGACTTTCGGGTGGGTGAAGTTTAAAAAACTATACATGTAACCATTGAGCCACTGTGATCTTTAAACATTTTAATAAAAAATCGTATTATAGTAATCGCCATACAGAAAAGATCGTTATAAATTGTTGTTTTAAATTGTTCAGTATATTGTAATGACCGTCACTTTTAGAAATTATAATTTGCACTTTTATATTTAACACTGATTTATAATGTTAGGTGATAGAAAAATAATTTCTTATTCTGTTTTACACTTTAATGAAATACGTTGTTCATTTGTCACAATTGTCACTATTTACAAGTCACTCACAGTTTCGTTACATTTGAGTACATATATTGTTTCCGTCACTTATTTCACTGATTTTATATTTATTTTACGGTTAAATTGTTTGATAACATTACCACGGTATATTTAGATGGTAGTAGTTCAGTTTGTATAAATTTCGACTAAAACTAATTGGATTATATATTTATTTGACAATATTTTTACGGAGACGTTTGTTTATAAGATGACAGCGCCATCATTCCTTCCGAAGTCGCGGGTACATCTAGTTAATAATAAAATTGTACTTGGTCAATTCACACAGCGCCGCCTAGCCCCAAGCTAAACCGAGCCTTTGTTATAGACATCAGACAAGTGAATAAATAAATTGATACTTTTTTTGCGAATACTTACATAATATACATATAAAACACCAACCAATACAATACCTATGAATAAAAATATTTGCACCATGCGAGGAATCGAACCCGCAACCATTGGTAGTAAAACAGTATATTACACCACGACACCACCGTAGTCGTTATTGATTAATTTATCGTACGATAAAAAAACATTTCTTAATAAGAATTAGTACAATGGCGGACTTACCTCAGTAGTGTAACTTGTACCAATCAACCTTTGAGTACCTGATTGGAATAGTGTGGTGGGAATAAATAACTTTACTAATACTGCTAATGTGATGAGATGGGAGAGTTGTCCGGATGTTTATAATTCAATCACGTTTAAAACAGGTCGGATTTAGCGTTTGCTACACGAGAACTCTGACATTTATTGTTTTACTACCTGCTATAAGGGGAAGGGGATTGTTAGTAATGTGGACTAATGACCCCATTACAAGCAATGCACTATGTCAGATTGACCCCCACGCGGTTCACCCTGGAAACCATCGTGATAAATTTCTGGTGAATTTGTCACGATGGGCTAACTGACCTGACCTTATGTTCATCTTATCATCCTCCACTGGTGTCCCGCCAGTGTAAACCGTTAGCACAGACGGGTGCACCATTCCATTATCATGCCTAAAAATAAATTCCGGCCATAGATACTAAAGGTCGTAAGTTGGAATAAATCATTACCTACCTAAAGATTTTGCACGACTTGAACTAAAAGTTCACAGTATTTGTTAAAAATAAAAATATTGTTATAATTGTTGTGAAAATTTGTTTATTTTAATAGCAGTGATACAGTACTTAATATTGAGTGTTATCTAATAATAATATACAGTAATTGCAGAGTTGTCCTTGTGATAGTGGCGATCTGGAAGTTCGTTGGTGACGGTATATTTTAAAAATTCAGTGCATTACAATACTAAGTAAATAGTTATCAGTGCCATCTTTTGACACCCGTTCACATCAACAAGTATCGATCGATAACAGTGCAATCTGTTGACACGCGTTAACATCAACAATTAGCGACCTATTTTATTTGAAACACAGAAGAAAGGTTGTAAATTGTGGTGCTTGTGGAAAGTTCCTCTCACCGGCAGATGGTGCTGTATGCACTAAATGTAAAAATATTTACCACGCAGCTTGTTTGGGGCTTCCAAACTTAGCTAAAGTTAGACCTGGCTGGATTTATCCTGAGTGCTCAATGAACATGCCTAGAGATAACTCATCCGAAACACCTGTAAAGGGTATGAGCAGCACATATACCATGGACAAGCGTGAGAGGCAGAATGTGGCGGATGATGAATCGATGGATTGCACGGCATTGAATACCACGGAGGAGTTTAAAATAGAGCTGGCACTGGAAATTAAAGATTTTAGAAGTGAGCTGAAATGTGTGCGAGAAGAAATGAAGGTTCTTCGTCAGGAAATGGCAGAATACAGAGCTTCGGTCGCCGCCTGTAACACGCAAATAGACAACATGGAGCGAAGGCTAGACGTCGTCGAGCAAAAGGTTTCGGAGGCTGGTGTGGGCCGCACAGCTGAGCTAGAGGAAGTGGTACATTCGTTGTAATCCCAGTTAAATGAACGAGACCAGGAGTTACTCTCAAACGATGTTGAGATAGTGAACATACCGGAGATACAGGGAGAAAATCTGTATCACATAGCATCGGTGGTAGCAGCCAAGCTGGGTGTGCCGCTGGAGGAGCGCAACATAGTATCCGTGTCCCGAGTGGGGGGCGCCGCGCGGCGGTGGGCGAGCAGGCGTCCGGCCGCCCGCGCCCTCTAGTTGTTACGTTCGCCCGACGCTCATTGCGGGACCGACTGCTCCAAAGCGCTCGAGTAAGACGAGGAATTACGACACTAGACCTGGAAGTATCGAGAGAGGCACATAGAGTCTATATGAATGAAAGACTTACTCGATACAATAGAAATCTGTTCTACAAGTCCCGAGGAGCTGGTCGTGAAAAGGGCTGGAGGTACATATATATGGACAAGAAATGGAAAGATTTTTGCACGCAGGACCAGGACAGTATAGCGCATAGAATAAAGCTTGAAACAGACATTATTAAGTTTTTTGGCAATGAAGTGGTTGGTCCTAATAATAATGTATAGGTTGCATTTTAATATATTTGTTATTTATAATCAAAGAATTAGCAAATGTAGGAATAATTACATAGTGTTAGGCAATGGGTGCTGTGATCCCTGTATTTGTGTACAAATAATAATGATAAGTATATATCAGTACTAGCTGTACCCGCGACTTCGTCCGCGTAAATAATGAAAAAATATTTAACTCAATTAACACAATATAAATCAAATAAATAAGTTTCATCATTTTAGCTTAAAAAATGATAAAAAATAAAAATAAATATTTAATCAATAGGCTAAAAAATAAATTAAATTAATTGCAACCCCCTTACAATCCTTTTTTCACATTCAAAAGTACCCTATATTTTATTCCGGGTGTAAACTAACTGTGTACCAAATTTCATTTAAATTTTTATTTTGTTTTGCTAAGACTGACAGAAAGACACACAGAGTTACTTTCACAGTTATAACATTAGTGGGGTATTTAAAAATCTACCCCAAAAGAACCAATGAAAATAGTTTCATCGTTCTAGTTTCAAAAATTACGAATTTACATAATAACTATCATCCCCTATTTTATTTTGCCCCTTTAAGGTTAATTTTTTTAAAAACAATTAATTTAATATTTATTTATATTTAATCAACAGCCTCAAAAATAAGTTTCAAGCTTCTAGCTTCAAAAATGACGATTTTACATAAAAACTTGCATCCCCTATTTTATTTTACACCCTTAAGGATAATTTTTTTAAAAACAATGAATGTCATATTTTTTTATATTTAATCAACAGCCTCAAAAATAAGTTTCAAGCCTCTAGCTTAAAAAATGACGGTTTTACATAAAAACTTGCATCCCCTATTTTATTTTACCCCCTTAAGGGAAATTTTATACAAACAATGAATGTCATAAGTATGTATATTTAATCAACAGCCTCAAAAATAAGTTTCAAGCTTCTAGCTTCAAAAATGACGATTTTACATAAAAACTTGCATCCCCTATTTTATTTTGCCCCCTTAAGGGTAATTTTTTTACAAACAATTTATGTCATATTTATTTATATTTAATCAACAGCCTCAAAAATAAGTTTCAAGTCTCTAGCTTAAAAAGTGACGATTTTACATAATATCTTGCATCCCCTATTTTATTTTACCCCCTTAAGGGTAATTTTTTTACAAACAATGAATGTCATATGTATTTATATTTAATCAACAGTCTCAACAATAAGTTTCAAGCTTCTAGCTTCAAATATGACGAATTGTTAACGCCTCACCGTAATACAATATAAATAATAACTGGTTCCTGATGCGGTGAGGCGGGGAGCGGGGCGCGCGTCGTCTAGTTTTTGTGTTACGTGCATATTGCGATCTCTGTAATTGCATCCATCATTTCATTCCATTACACACCTTCCTACAAAGCGCTGTATTTTTATTTCGCATCGATATCAACTTTAACATTGGTGACCCCGACGTGATATTCTGGACTCGGTGCAGGCTGACGAAGGTTTTAATATTCAATCAAGCATCTAAATAAACAATTACGACGCGACGAGCTGACGGAGATTTGAAAAATAAGAAATTGCAATAATCAACTACGCAATTACCGGCCTATTGTGTGCATTGAACGAAATTTGTGGTTATCGACGCCATCAAAAGGGAAGTTATGTCCAGTTTGAGTATTTATATTTACATAATTAGTGTTCTAAATTTCAGTACAAGTTAATATTGCCTCAATAGGTACGTACTTAGTTATTTGTATTTAATATCACTATAGTGTAAAACCGAACGCGCTTGCACCATTTTGTTAATATTAACACCCACATATTTTAGCATTAAAAACTACATTTTTTTTAGCTTTGTGACTATTTAAGATAAAATTAAGTAACAATCGTGTTATTTGGGTAGAATTGAATATATTTCTAAAATACATATTTATATTTTCAAAAGTTACAATTAAAATTCATTAAAATTATAGTATATCATTACAAAATTGCGAAATATAACTAAAATAGGATATTGCTACGTAATAAGCAATAGGTATATTAGTAAAATAAATAACGATAACCATTTATTGTATTGTAAATACAATACATAAATATTAATCTACCTTAAAATCAAGCAAATACCTACTCATACAGGCCTTACAATATACAAGATTTGTGTGTAATTGGTTTATTACCTATATAGTATATATAGTGTAAATTTTACTAAAATTAATTTACAATAAATACAAAACATTTCAATACAATTATATAAGCTAGTACTATGGTAAATTCCAGGTTTTTGTAATCGGCGACAATCATTGTATGGGCGCAGTAAGACGAACTACCTGATATTGTTGACAAATTCCCTGCGCCACCTGCCGCGCTGTTGGTTGAGTGCTGACGCGGCCGTTTGACTTCGCTTGCATCATATCTGAGTATTTGCCAGTGCACTCATACTTAGTGACTTACGGTTTGAAATTTACATCTATTTTCTTTTTAATTTCATTTATTATTATTTGTTTTTTTTTTTTTTTGTTTGTTTTTGCTAACTCTCCAATCGCCCATTTTTTTTTGCAAATCTGCTAAATTTACAATTTATAATGGCAGACGGCAAGGAGTTAAAAGAATATACACAACTACGAAGTAATATAAAAGCTAGAATTACTATATTTCAAAAATATATAGACATTGTAAAACTTGTCGAACCAAAAACTTTAGCAAAGCTACAAATAAACGAGCTTCAGTTAAAATTATCTCGGTTACAGGAATTATTCTCTTCTTTTGACGACATACAAAATAAAATTGAGCTTCTCACGTCTGACAATATATCCCCTCAATTAGAGGAACGCGACACTATCGAAAGCTCATTCTGTAAATCAATCGCTATAGCACAGGACATCTTGGAGTCAGCTTGTAAATCCGATAGACCTCCCTCTCAAGGCTCAGATAATTCTATAAAAACTAACAATGAGTACAGCCTGTGTAATATTAGACTTCCGACCATCAAGCTACCCTCCTTTGACGGAAATAACCTGAAATGGCTAGAATACAGAGATACCTTCGAATCTCTCATTCACAACAACGACTCCATCCCGAAAATCAATAAATTTCATTACTTGCGTTCGACACTAGAGGGTAGTGCAAGTATTGTTATTAAGTCCATCAATTTCACCTCTAGCAATTATGATTTAGCATGGAATATTCTTTGTGATAGATTCAATAATAAAGTTATATTAATAAACAATCATATTAAATGTTTATTTAGTTTTGATGCATTAGGAAAAGAATCACACAAATCCCTACGTTATATGGTAGATTATTACACAAAAAACTTGAGATCCTTGGAGGAATTAAAAGAACCTGTTCAATTTTGGGATACTTTGGTTATTTATATTATGACTTCGAAGCTGGATCCTGCCACGGGTCGCAAATGGGAGGAGCATCGTAATTCATTGGATCTGTCACCTACGTTAGCTGATTTCTTTGAATTTTTACGTAGTCGAGCTAATATTTTAGAAACCATACAACACGGTCGTACTGATTCAATTAAACTTGAAAAACATAATACTTACAAAGAAAACAAACCTAAGGTCAAGGTCCTTTGTTACGTCCTCAGTAGCTACAAATAAAAGAAATTGTGTTGTTTGCAATAGTAATCATTTATTATACGAGTGTGAACAGTTCAAAAATATGTCTATGGATAGTAAAACAACTACAATTAGTAAATACAAACTCTGTAAAAACTGTCTGCGTCCTGGCCATCACCATTCTCGTTGCCGCTTAAGTGCTTGCAAAATCTGTAACAGAAAACACAATTCATTATTACATCGCAATGAAAATACTAACAAAAATAACTTACCTGCGGAATCAACGACTAGTTCTTCCTTCTTGCCACGTGAGTCGCAAGTCTCTCTTTCTGCCTCTGTTTCAGGTCAGGTGTTATTATGCACAGCTGAAATAGAGGTAGTAGACACGATAAATAACAAAACTCACCCAGTGAAGGCTCTCCTCGACAGCGGTAGTCAGTCTTCCTTCGTATCTGAAAAAATAAAAAACAAAATTAATATTCTCTGTAGAAAAACTAATATACCGATTTTAGGCGTAAACAACTGCATAACTAACTCAGTTGAATGTTGTAACTTGCTTCTGAAATCTTGCGTAAATTCATTTCAAGTAAAAGTGGACTGTTTAGTAATCCCACATATTACAAATAAATTGCCTAGTGTATTAGTAGATGTTGCTAAACTAAATATGCCATCCAATATACAATTAGCTGACACAAAATTTTTCTGTCCATCTGAAATCGACCTCTTATTAGGAGCAGACATTTATTGGGACTTAATTATGCCAAATCAAATTAAGTTGGGTAAAAATAATCCTACTTTACAGGAGTCGAAATTTGGTTGGCTTGTTGCTGGCCCCACTGGTGGTAATCCATACTCTTCAACTCCAAAAGTTCATTGCCATTTTACAAAAGAAATAAAAGAATCTTTAGCTAAATTCTGGGAAGTAGAAGAATTACAATCTAATACAAAAATATTATCGAAGGAAGAAGAATATTGTGAAAACCACTTTATACAATATACTAAACGTTTGCCTTCAGGTAGGTTCTCGGTTACAATTCCCTTTCGCGAACCACCCGAAAACGTTTTAGGTGGATCACACAGTATAGCTAGAAAACGCTTTTACAATTTAGAAAAAAGATTGGCAAGAAATGGTC